TCTCCTTCTAGCTAATCCGGTCTCCTTCTAAAACGGCAGACACAGCGCTAGCGTGAGACAGACTAATCCGTTCTCCTTCTAAAACGGCAGACACAGCGCTAGCGTGAGACAGAATAATCTGTTCTCCTAGATATGAATGCCATAAAACCTGTTATATCAAAGATTCGGCTGTGAAATCATGAAAACATTGCACGGCTTCAGTAGTTTGCTGGCTTGAGGTAGAGTACACTACTGTACAGTATGTAGTTTTATTTTTACTGTATTATTATAGTTCTTATTACCTAATATATTATTACTGTTCTGTCTTACCTACAAATTTAACTTACAGACAGACTCAGGGATTGGATCTCCAGCTGGCAGTATCCCAGGAGAAGATCTGCACACATATCCACTTACACCTAAAGAAAGTCACATGTCAGTCACCTCTCTTCTAGCCACTCACTCTGCATCCAACATCAATACAAATGAAATGAACACCACTTTCAAAACAGCACGCAACTCATTTAGCCAGGGATTGTAGCAGCAGGAAGAATCAAGGACGTGGGGTGTGAAAGTGGGATTATCTAAGTGCACCATTCTTCTCTGGTGATTACTGTGGTTCATATCATCACCATGATCTTTTGCCTCCCCTTCACTGTAAAGAAGAACCTCCTTTGGAATAAGAACTTTGTTTAATGCGGAAAAGCACAGAATATGGGAATGTGGGAGGTCAATGGTGGAAACACTAGGATGTGGAGGGGAAATGTTAGAGTGCCTTGTTACCTGGCAAATTAGACCATGTGTCTCTGATGAACTCTTTGCATTATGAAAGAATGGTACTCCTGGTAGTACAGGGGGGGGCAGTAAGACTGGGGGGTGCGCTCAGGGGACACTGTTTAGGTATTTGCCATTTCCATTGAGTTTGCTGTTCTGTAGAACATTGGGCAGCTTCCTCTGTGCTTAAGGCTGTATGGACTATATTTACCATTGTCCAGCAACTCTGCAGTGATGGACTTCAATTAAAGGTCCCACTGCTCACAACACTGACGTGTTCTTTAGAAACGCTCAGAAGTGACGGTGGTCTCTTCATAGAGAAGCAGTGAAATCTTGGGTTGGTAGAACTCGATCTCTGTCTATGTAATTAGCATCATGAAGTGTCATATTACACTGGAGAATAAAGGTACTGTAGTTTGAACAACCGTTTGTGTAGTTTTGGTTTGTAACAGTAATTTTTCTCATCAGCTGTCTGTGACTGTGACTAACTTAAACTTTACCTCAGCAGCCCAAGTCTCACCCGCAGCAGCCCAGGTCACTTGCTTCCCCCCCCCCCATGAGTTGTGGCTTGTGGTTAAGAAACAGCTAGCTCTGCTCTTTGCCTGCATTAAAATGAGAACACACTGACATTCATAGAAGGGTTTCGTTTACAAGAAAGGCAACTGAAACATTTGCCGAGCTGTAAACACTGGTGCACATCTCAGTGAGCACAGGGTTCAGTGAGCTGCTCGGGATCCAGAGGACGGATGGGCTTCCTGCACAAGATCTCCATCAGAGGACTGCCGTGGAAAAGATGAAGGAAGTAGCATGCTTTTCTGCTTTGCTCTTTGTGGTCTTAGTTGAAGGTATGATGGATTTTCGGGTTACGATATTCGACAATCTAAATTGTGAGTGACTCTCGTATTTAGTGTTTGCTATAAGAATCAGATAAACATCACAAAAGTCAGATAAACATCAATCAGATAAACATTGCGGACACTGTGATCAGATAAACATGTGAAAGTGTTACAGATCGAGAGGATATCGGCTTATGCTAGATACTCGATACCACTTGAAAGTTCCTCTTTAATGATTTAATGAGTTTTATTCACGTGACTTTTTTAAATACCCAAAAACAAATGCATGCCAGTTAAATGGTCACTTTAAGAAGGTTCCAGTGGGCCAATATTTATTAACTGTTTATTTACACCAGTCATTTCTCTGCTTTGTTGAAAGGACAAACATCACAACCAGCCCATAATGTTCAATGCTACAAGAAAACCACTGATTTTGATGAAGACTTCACCTGCACATGGCGTCCTGTAACACCTCTGCAGAATGCTACTTACAAGCTTTTTTATCAGTGAGTTACATTACAGGGCGTCTCCACACGAAAGCTTCATGCACTATGCTGAAATAGACAAAACCAATGTGATGGCTTAGCCATGTGTTCTTACTTGTAGGGCACCCGGCCAGCACTCAAGGCACCACTCGATTTGTACCACATCACACACCAGCTGTACCGTACTCCGTGAGCTCCTCATCACCACACGGACGATACACATGTGGCTGGAAGTCGAAACAGCGACCGGCACCTACAGATCAGCCGAACTCACCGTGTGTCTCAATAATCAAGGTAAATCTGCAGCTTCTACAACATCTAGAGAACAATGAAATTACTCCAAAAAAGCCATTACATTTATACGGAGGCCTATTTTCAGGTAACTCTTATGTGTGTGTTTTAAGCACACATTGAGTTATGTGCTTTACTGTTTTTTCCTCAGTTAAATATGACGCTCCTGAAATCAAAAAAATTTCACGGTCTTCAAAAAAACTGACTTTATGGTGGAATAAACAGAGTGAAGAACATAGGGGTGCAGTTTACGAGATATCACTGAAGCAACTGGACCATGAGCACTTGGTACAGGTAAGGTGACATCCACTATGTAGGTATGTCATCTGTATTTGTTTTAAATATTTTTGAAAATTCCTGTTTAAAATCAGGCATCTCTATATGCATATTTCATGTATATGTTTATGCATGTGGACAGTTATACTGCTGCTTGTTAAACCATTTAGCATCACATTGTTTCTACATTTGTTTTATTTCCAGGAAACTTTTGAAACCAACGATGGCCAGAATACACAAGGTTGGTTCATTGTTCTTGGCTTGACAGAATCTAGCTAAATTTCAGGGCAGTCTGTCAGAAATTAAGCCCTTGCATTCTCCTGCATGGCGTCTGTTACATTCTGTAATATAATACGTTTGATTTTCCCTTGTTCACTGGGCTTAAATATTGCAGTCTGTCGGTTAATTGATGGGGGGCTTGGCAGACAGTTGCTCTGGTTTGGGTCTAAGGAAAGAGCAGAGATAGCTAATGTGGAAGAAAGATACTTGTCCCCCCAAAGAAAATGATCCAGTTATTCCCTGGTATCTTACGCGTGATACAGCTGATATTTATGCTTTTCATATTGGGTAGGAGCCCCTTAATTAGGTACACCTAGGCAGTATTGGGTAGGATCCCCTTTACACTTAGGCAGTACTGAGTAGGAGCCCCTTTATTAGGTACACCTAGGCAGTACTGAGTAGGAGCCCATTTATTAGGTAGACCTAGGCAGTATTGGGTAGGAGCCCATTTTTTAGGTACACCTAGGCAGTACTGGGTAGGAGCCCCTTTACACCTAGGCAGTACTGGGTAGGAGCCCCTTTACACCTAGGCAGTACTGGGTAGGAG